GACAAAATAAATAAATACGTGTGTATATAGTTATTTTTTCATTACCTAACTGACGGACTATTTAGATTTTTAATGTTCTCGGAAACGGACCCAATGATTTTCTTTAAATTTTATAATTAGCGCGTTTTGGGGTGATAAATCGATCTAGCTAGCTAAAGCTAGGTCATACAGGTACCAATACTGTACTCGAACTTCAAAGTATTCGGTATACCGTTGTTTTAGCTGAAACCAAAAACTAGTTACATATTGCACCAACATACAAACGGCTAGTGTGTTTATTTCGTACATCAGTTGAGAGGAATGTTTGTGGAGTTAGCTGTGACTGTTGCGTGGAACGTTTACTGTGAAACTAACATTTGGCTTTTGAGGGGTCGTATGGAATAAATATTTATTTACGTTTTTACACTGCTTTCTGTTTGAGAATACAGGTCCATATTAACAAAGTTGTTTTTTGTACAATACCACTCATCATCTTTTCATTTTCAATAGTCTTGATTGTTATAAGTTATTTGTTGATTGGCTCCTCTATATACTTCTGTAAAAAACTGAATACGCAAATTAGTTGCAGTTGAACTCTACTCATTGTTCAATTTCTTCGACTTTTTTTTAGACAAAATCACAAAGTCGGCATCTTAGTAAGCATTTATGCTGCCTACTTAATTTAATCTTTAATATGATCTAGACAGTTATATACATCCCACTCTATAATTATATACGTGTATAATTGTTGTGTTTATATTTCTATAATATATGTCTTAGGTTTTCAGTTTTGTAGGTATGTATCTAAAGCTTTTTGCTATAATGTCCGAAATATTCACCATCTTCATCTTTTTGATAGATCTTCATACAATATTCTTCCTAGTACATTACCAAATAGAATTCAAAATAAAACCATCTCCAAACGTGTTTCTATAAACTAACAAAGATATCTCATTTGATAATTCCACGTTCATCCTGGAGATAAGTATCGAAGTGTATTGCGAAGTAAGGATCGTTTTGTGTGGTTGCCCGCATTGCCCTTTGTATGACGTTGCCAGAGAGCCATAGTGAGCTGTATGGCACTATGGCAGTATGGCAACGTGGCCCCACCCGTGTTATGTAACGAGAGCAATCAAACTTGCCGACCAGGATCCCCCGAGGACCGTACGGACGGATTTTACCTTAAGTGTTTTGCATCTGTGTGAATTAAATTCACCTACTGGGATTGGAAAGAAATCAATTAAAAGCATTGCAATATTGGACTTGATAAGGTTTATAAAGAGATGTTTAAAAATGGATATATAGAAATTGTAACGATATTATTCAAATAGTTAATTTTCTTTTCTCATACAAACTGCTCCATTAGTTAATGTGAAATGGAACAAATGCTCATTATTGAACTGTCCATCGGGTCTGTCATAGTGCAAAAGAAAAACAAATGACACACCAATGACGTCAGACACAAAATGACAAGGGAGAAAATATATCGTGTTCTCTTTCGAACTCCAAATTATTGCCGCCTTTAATACAATATAAAATAAAAACAAATGACAAGTCAATGACGTCAGACCCAGAATAACCAGGATGCAAATATATCGTGTACTTTTTCTAAGTTCTAATTAACTCGTCGAGTACCGGTTTTATAGACACAATTAAAGAACAATAGGTCGCGGTCACCGGTGACCGCTTGGTGTTTGACAGTTTAATGCCGCCTTTAGAACGATTCAAAATAAAACAAATTTCACGTCAATGAGGTCATACAGAATCATATCGAGTTCTCTTTTTAAATTCATAAAGGCACGTCTTTAATACGAATTAATTATGTAGTGTCTTTTGGTTCTACTTACCATTATTAAAAGTAGTTGAACGTATTTTGAATATGCAAAATTCTTTGAGATAATTAAATTTATAGTTAAAAGACCTAAAACACGATATTAACCGCATGCTCTAATAAAGTTTCATGATAATATAATAATTAGAACTCTTTGTTATTCAGTTTCTTAGATTTTATTATACAGTTCGTTACAGGTTGACTTAGTAAAAGCGAGTTAAATTCACAACGTTCTTCTAAAATGTATAACTAATACTCGTACTAGATGTCGCGGAGAACCTAACGGGTTACCGGGGCTTCGGCTCGACGTGCAGGAGAAGGATCGGGGTGGTTTTTAGTCAGTAAGAGCCTGACACTCCCTCCCGCCTCATCCAGGCTGTCAGTATTTGGATGATTATCCCTCCTTAAAAAAAAATCTAATATTAGATATTCTAATAATCCATCCAACTGCGATATAAAAAGAAGTAATAAGCTTTGATACACCTAAATCCTTTTGTATCAAGCGATATGCAGAGCTTTGCTATTAGCAAAACAATTTTCGTGTTCACAAAAAAGAAGAACTAGGTATGTACATACAAAACTGTTTGTGGATTAATTTCGCACTCGGTTTCGCTCAGTTTTATACACGGCATGGACTATTCATAGTTTAGTTTTGTCGGCACAATTTATATTTTCAATTAGATTTGACTTCCGTATGAAATTGGAGTAATTATTTAGTTAGTTATTTTAGATTTTTGTATTAAAATCATACTGATTGGAATCTTTGCGCAGTAGTTGGATGACCAGGTCGTATGCAATGAGTTGCATATTTTAAGCCCTTAGGGAGGGATATGTAAACCGTCGCATGTCGGTCTTAGGTATCAAACAGATACCTATCTAAGACAATCTAAGATTCTAACCAGAGCTGTCCTAACCTTAGCCACTTATTTATTACTATAAAACTGTTTATACAATTAAAATTTAAAATGACACGTAGGATACAGGATACGCCTACGTGCCATATATGTTACTAAACTTCTATTCTCCCGTTAAAAGTACTCAATGAACCACTTGAAAGCTGTCACTACTACCACATAGCACTGTTCTTTGACACATTCATAGTGACGTGTGCGTGCATCAACCGACGCACAATGACGTCACAAGCACTGAATGCATTAGAGAGTTTGACGGGAGTGCCTTTGGTGGAACGTGCACAGATTCTGTCGGATATTCCGTGCATAAAATCAGTGTCAATGACCTGAGTATTTTTAAATTGCGGTGTTTTAGGAGATGGATGAATTAAGACCTATTTTTATTATGTACGTCATGATTAGAGGTTTACAATTTTCTGGAGGTACTTTTTAATATCGTCTCTTGTTCAGTGGTCGTTAAGAGCGGGAATAACTCGGTGTATTTCCTATTATCCCTAGCTCGTGATACTTATCTTCATTAAGCACTTTTTCTTAATAAGTAACAAAAATCCGTTGGTAAATCATAACTGGCAAAATCTTTTTTTTTAAATCATCGATAAAAAAGATAATGGAGTTGAAGTTCCAACAAAATAAAACACGAAAAAGCTGTGTAAAGCGTTTAAAAAATTTCCTGTGCATACAGACATTATGTAAAATACAAAATACGTAAAAATATACCTATATTTCGACGGCCCCCACGTAAAGTATTGAAACTGCAAAACCTCTACTTTACAGGAGAGCGATTTTAAGTTTAGATTTAGATTTTTGTTAAACATAAAATTCCAAAATTTCATATTACCGATGTATCTTAAGTGGAAAATTTGACTGTTTTATACTGTCTACTATAGTTTTTGATAATTATTATACTTTTTGTAAAATTACACATTCGATACTTTACTTGATTACTGCTGGTTACTTTTTTTATCGAATATGCCAATTTCGATAGTTATCTATGACAAAATATTCTAGTCTAATATCGAATGTGCCCGTTTCGATACTTTTCCGCGGCAACAATATCTAGTAAACTATTGGATGTGGTAGATTCGATTGTTTTCTTTGTTAAATTGTTCAAGCCAATGTAACATAACACTAGATTCGATTTAAGATACCTTCATACTACTTTTTTATGTCAAGCTTTTTCTGGGAAATGAAGAAAAACACGATCAGATATTTAATCAAACAATTTGTATTAAAAAATTAAAATTTATAAAACACAAATACTTGGTTACAAAGCGGCTTTTACCTTTTAGATGACATTTCAATATTTTTAATGTTTTATCTTACTTTTTATTTATTCTTATGTTTTATTTTTAATGTTTTTACAATATAATTTGTTTTCTAAGAGTAAAAAGATAAAATTATGTTTATGGCACAATGCTTTTATAAAGCAATAATAGTACAGAACATAGTACTAACTCTGTGCTAAGAATATTATGATGATCTATGTAAGTCTTATACTCTTGAAATTATAATCTTCATAACCGTTTGTAACAAAAAAGGAAAGAAAACTTAACATACTTTATCAATCATAACATATTAATTATTAAACAGATCATCACGAGATGATTATCACAACAATTGCTTTATGTACTATTAAACTTTAAGTTAGGTATTCAACATGGGTTAGTATTAATCAACAATCAATGTAAATAGATAATAATTATTATTTAGGTACTTAACTGAGCTTTTTTGAGCTTACACTAGAAAGTGAGTATTAAATGAGATCGTAATTTTTTTAGTAATTAGATTATTAGATAAATAATAGCAAATTAAATCACAATCTGTTTTTCTTAAAACTCTAGGTAATAACAAATGAAACATGAAGTTGCTTAACAAGGCTATTAGTTTTTTAACATTCTTTTGAATCTCAGTCACAATCAGTTCCAATGTTCTTAAAATTCTACAAATAATGGTAAAAATAAACTATTCAGTCTTCTTCGTTAAATTCTTCATCATTGCTTTGAGAAATTTGGAGGGTTTTGTAAAAATTATGGTATTGCTTTGGAATGTGCCCGGCATTACAAAGTGACAACAAATCTTTATATTTTGCTTCCGATATCGGCAAGCTGCTAGAATATAATGGCGTCAATTCACTTTCTTGATTTCTAACCAAGGTTTTTTTATTTCAACGGGTTCGAACTAAAGTATTTAGTGTCATGTAGTCTGAGTCCAGGTCATATTTGTAAAGAATAGTATTAGGGTCATTTTTATTTACATTAATTTCCTTTATATTATTCCACCTCACATCTTGATTTTCAGTGTTTTTCTTCCAATTTCTGTTGTCTAACAAGGTTTTAAAATCAAATAACATATCTTTAGTCACTTCAGTAACTTTGTAAGGAGAACTGTTTGTTTTGGCCCAACGAACTAACGCGTACCATTGGTCAGGGGTATAAATTATTTTGCCTTTAGAAGATCTCTCAACAAGAGCATGTACACTGTCTGCTTCTTGTTGAGTGTGACCAGACTCTAAAAATCGGTGTGTGATGTCGATGTTGAATTTTCTGCTAGCGTACATGTAGAGGCTGTAGACAACTCTGTTACGGTTTTGTCCGGCGCAGTTATCCGACCAAAATCTGAAATCTTGTGCTCCATCTGTTACTTTAAGTCGAATAAAATCTAACAAGCAACTAGCGACCTTGTTAGCCCCACGTTTAGCGATGTTTTCAGGCCACATGTAGCATGATGCTTCCTTCTTTCCAGCGTCGAATACTGTCAAATGCATAAGTGATAATTTCCTTTTATAATAAAACAAAGAAACCTCTCCACTAGGGCAGTTAAGTACCTTCTGAAAGTCATAAGTTGCACATACTATTTGACTAGGATTTTGAGTAGCTAGTTCTTTATCCTCAGCTTTGTATTTTCGTGCAGTTTGCTTGTTAGAAAGATGCTTGGCGTGAGATTCTTTTTCTTCTTCGGTAGGATTTTCTATGTTATCAAACGCATGACACTTGTCACATAAATCTTTTTTCGGCATATAAAATGCAACGTTCATGTTGTCGTTTACAATAGTGCGATATTGCCTTTCCGTTTGTGCTGTATTGTTGTAGTTATGCAATTGATTCCATTCTTTGTATAACGCAAACATCTTAGCAAAACTTAGATTGTTATCCAAGTACAATTTACTGCTGCTTTTCCTGGTATAATGGGACTCAACAGGCTGAAATGACTTCACGTGATCACAAACACTACGGATCATCTCAGTGTCAATTTTTTTAGGGTGATTAAGATGTTTTCCCCTGTTATCAGTTCCCGTTACACCACTTATGTCTAGCTTTTCGTGCGCTGTACGTATGAATTGGTCTGTAATAGCCAGAGTGGCACAAAACATTTTTAAGCACACTTTTATTGGTTCAAAGCTATTGGAATCTGTGTTCGGAACAGGTAAGTAATAATTAGTAGTGAACTTCCTTCTCGATGGTCCTTCCTTAGTCTGCCTCTTTTTTTCAATTTTCTTAGTAAACTTGTTTATATACTCCCATTGCTTAGAGTGGTCTGAAAGTTTCCAAAACTTATCAAAAATAAGTTGTCTTATTTCTTCTTTAATATTAATGGAGCATTTCAGCTTGCAAGTCAAAGGACATGGACTTTTCAATATTTTGGCTAGTATTTCCTTACCTATTTTACTTATGTGTTTTTGTCCGGAATTTTTCAGTAATTTCCTACGAACATCAGTCCATTGGTTTATATGCCTCTTTCTTTTCTTACCCGGATCTTGCTTAAGGGTCCTTTTTCTGCTGACTGTGTAGATATTGGGTGTTCCTGGTTCAGATGGTGATGCTGATATCAAAGAATTTATACTTGGAATGTCACAAGGTTCTTGAACATCGTTGTTACAAGATTGTTCGGTTGGGCTTATTGGGCAATCAAAATCGTGAGTAGGATTTACACTTGGAATGTCACAAGGTTCTTGAACATCCTTGGTACAAGATTGTTCGGTTTGGCTTATTGGGCAATCAAAATCTTGAATAGAGTTAGGAGATGGAACCGGAGTACATTCATTACTATCAAAAATAACGATATCAGAATCATTATGCACAATATTTCCATCAACCGCATCATTTTCATTGTAAATGTCATTTAAATATCTCCACTCCTCATCGGTGAATTGACACTGCATTGGAGATTCTGAAAATACAAAAAAAAAATCAAATTAATACAACATAATATCGAAAATGCAGGGCAATATTTAACTTTGTCGTAGTAAAGTATCGAAAGTGGTACATTCAATGTGTTCATAGCAGAAAAAAGTATCGGATGTACCACTTTCGATAAATTTGCTAGTACAAATACCAAGGAAAACTATCGAAAGTGGTACATTCGATGGAACAAATTTACTCTTTGTACCAGTATAGTATCGAATGTACCACTTTCAATAGTTATAATCAATTATTCTAAAAACAACAAAAAATTGACAAATTTTTGTCATAAATAGACCGTCACTACACAGGTTCCAATAACAACTTTATATATTTGTTACGTTTTAGATTTTAAACAAACAAAAACGCATGAAAGAATAAAAACTTTAAAACTTACCAGGTTGATTATCATTTGTTTCTGAAGTAATAACATGTTCTAGTGCACCTTCACTGCGTTGTTTTATCATATTTATCATCTGTAAACCTCTTCTATTCATTTTGAACTAAAACTTATAAAAACTAACCTAAACCTAACCTTAAAATCCACGCGTGCGTTCCGCTCACATATTCGGGTAACACTGACGAAACAGGTAGTTTCGTGTCGCGCCCGCGTACCACTGATCACGTATAATATCGAAAGTGGCAAGTTCGATGTTTTAGTATGTTCATTTTATGTATTATCGATTTTGTTCGATTGAAAAATAGTTGAAGGCATAAAAATTGATACATAATTTTTATATAGAATTTAACATCTTTATCTCTACTTGCTATTAGTGCAATAAAACGAAAATAGCTTTTTTGCAATTTCGATAGTATACGTGGGGGCCGTCGATTTAGCTTTTTAAAGCGCTAAAGCGTAGTAACTGCTGAACTAGTATTTTGTTAACTGGCTGACTGACTATGACGTAGTTGTTGTATGAATTCACTGTTAAACTAAGTTAGTTTCTAGTTTATTTGCAATTGAAGCGATTTTTGTTAAGATGGGAGAAAATTGAAAATTGTATTTTATGTTAGATAGTATTTAAAACCTTTGAATACAAAGTATGTCGAGCCATCCTATCCTACCGATAATACAAATAAGAAAGTTTGTCTATTTATTTGTTTGTCACGTCAAAAAGGCTGAAGCTAGGGATTGGTATGAAATTTGGAACAAAGGTAGAATATTTTCAGAAATAAAACCTACTAGTCTTTTTTTATGGCATAAGCCGGTCAACGAGCAGACGAATCACCTGATGGTAAGCAATCTGCGTCGCCTATGGACACCTGGAACACCAGAAGCGTCACAAGTGTGTTACCGGCCTTTTGGGGATTAGGAGTTTGAGGATTGTTGGAGATTCGGGGATTGGAGATAGGGAAGATTGGGGAAGGGAGGGGGGTAACTGGGCCTCCGGTAATCTCACTCACATGACGAAACACAACGCAAGTGTTGCTTTCTGTGAGGCCGTGGTATCACTCCGGTCGACACTGCCCATTCGTGCCGAATCATGGCTCTCCCACACTTATTATCAGTCTACTTTTTACCCTACGGGAACGTGGGTGATGTCGATGGCTGAAGCTAGTCCGCCATAATTTCCATACATGGCAGGCTAGTTGGTTAGTTAGATAAAAGACTTAAATCTAGGAACTTCTAAGCTACTATACTTGGAAGTCTACCATAGAATAAATCTATAGCAAATCCAATGAAAACCGGTAAAGCCAGCTTTAGTTCTCGATGATAACAATAGCAGTTCAATTATGAGTGTGCTGTGCTAGGCGGAAACTAACTTGACAACACTTTGTTGGAAACAATCGCAGTTACCATGCTATCTACACCCATAAAGAAATATGCACACGGGCAACTTTTTTGTAAACGTTGCCCCACGTTAGAATTTTCTACTTTGTTGTGGGTGCATTTATAAACATTAAGTTCCGATACAGATGGAATCCAGACCCGAAACAACAATATGTGTAGCTTAATTTTTCTTGCATTCATAGCCTTTATACTTTAAATAGTACAACGAACTTCAACTGAGAAAAAAAAATTAAGGGAAGCCTGGAAAATTCTTTTTTTATTAAATTAGTGGCTGGTTATTAGTTGTATTGGTAAGGTAGAAAAATATTCATATTTTCATCATAATACAAATACATAAGTTTTGTATTTATATTATGATGCTTTATGGATTTTTTAAAGAGATAAGCCGGTAACGAGTAGACGGTCACCTGATAAGCAATCGGCTTCGCCCACGGCCATCTGGAACACTAAAGGCGTTACAAGTGCGTTATCGGCCTTTTGGGATTAGGAATTTGAGGATTGTTGGGATTAAGGGATTGGAGACAGGAGGGTGGAGTAATTGTGCCTCCGGTAACCTCACCCACACGATGAAACATAACGCTAGCGTTGTTTCACGTCTGTCTTCTGTGAGGTCGTGGTATCACGTCGGTCGAGCCGGCCAATTCGTGCCGAAGCATGGCTCTCCCACACTTGAATTGTATGAAAAAGAAAAAGGAAAGCTTTGCTATGACTACGAGCAGGGCTATATCTGCCGTATCAATTGTGAGCCCTCATGAGCTGTTTAAATCTAGAGCATAAGTATTTTTAAGAACACACACTTTTTAGTGGCACGATACAATTCAATATAAAAAAATGGCTTCAAAAGTCTATTGATAATTTAGAAATAAAATATTCTAAATAATTAACTTCCACAACCAGTTCTGTACAAAACGTCAATCAACGACCAACGAAACAATCTCAACTTTCACATCTCAATTTTAAACATGTCATCAACTAAACAACATGTTAGTTGCTCGTGTGTGTCCATTAATCGCCGGCCTGTCTCCGCTCAGTGTCATCTCAGTTCAGATATTAGCTTAGGATAACTTGTATTAAGACGCCTTTGCGATACGTTCACTGTTACTGTTCAACTTGTCTACTAGTTCTAGTTTTCCTGGTTGCTATGGGACAAAGATGTTATCTTTTATGTTTGTGTTTTAATTATTATTTTGTTTGTTGGGATCTAGTACTATGTTTAGTTCCTTTTGTGGCAAAATTTCTTTGTGTGCAACTAAGGCTATTTTCGCTCAAGTCATTTCATTTCAGTTATATTTATGTTTGAAACTTACATAGATAAAGTTTTCTCTCTTGTTGTGAATCTGTGGTAATAGTCTAAGGTGATAGATTATCTATGGTGCTTGGTTGAGCCCGCGCTTTTTAGTGATAGATTATCTATGGTGCTTGGTTAAGCCCATGCTTTTGTAAAAAATGTAAAAGCCAATAAAACAGTGTGTCAATAGCTTTCACTCGTTTTACTTGTATTTCGTTCCTATATTACAAATTTAACAATTATTGAAGTTATCTCTCTCAAACTATAAGGTATTATAATAGGTTTGAGGTTAGACAGTCTATCAAACGTATCATTTAAATGAGGCTCCAAACTGTTACATCACAAGATGGGACTTTTTTTTTTTTTTTTTTTATAATTGATGGGGCGACGTTTGACCACTATCTCACCTGATGGTAAGCGATGATGCAGTCTACGTTGGAGCACGTCGTCCCATAAGCAACCTATTCACTCGGGCCTTGAAGACTCCCAGGTTATACCCTTCAGGAAATACAGACTCTGGCAAAGAATTCCACTCTTTAGCAGTACGCACAAGGAAGCTTGAAGCGAAGCGCTTCGTGCGTACAATTAAGACTAAAATTAAAATTAAGCTACATTTCATATTATGACTGCCTCGTTGGCCGAGTGGTCTTAAGTGCGACTGCCGGGCAAGGGGTCTCGCGTTCGATTCCCGGGTAGGGCAAACTATAACTGGGTTAAAAAAAATCTCAGTAGTAGCACGGAGTCTAGAATTGTGCCCGGTATATGGCAATAGGCTCACCCCCTATTACATGGGACTCATAACATAAATAGTGAAAAGTGGGTGTTACATTGTACAGTGGCATAATGTGCACCTCTGCCTACCCCTTCGGGGACAAAAGGCGTGATGTTATGTTATGTTCACTTTATGTTTACAATGAACAACACTCAATATCTAACAGTTGTAAATACAAGAAAAAAGTTGTCTTACAATTGAATTCTAACTAACATGTATCGTGTCGAAAATTCCCAATAGTCGGAGTACCTCATAACACCTGTACGTGACTAGTAGTAGTTCTATATCATACTCCTGATCCAAACGCTTGGTGATTCTCTCTAGAGGCGTCGATCGAAACTGTTGGCTATTAAGACGTCGACTATTACGAATATTGATGGCAATGTTGCTTGATACAAAGTTTCCGGAGTGTAAGTCTGTGTGAATGTGTTAGTGGTATCGGTCAAATTTACCGAGTCGCATGAGGTTATTATCGAGTTTAGATAAGTTTGAATTTTGAACATCAATATTGTGATCGATATTTGAATTAGGAATTATATTTTATACTTCAAAAAGTTTTGAAATTATTATTTTTTTTGTTCTATTTCTTGTGGCTTTAAGACTAGTGTTTTGTTGTTTTATGTTTTGTTAATTGCCATAGGTAATTAGCAAAAATCAATACTATAATATAAATATGTAATATTTGTTATGACCCGTTGGTTTCGACACTTTCATAAAATTACGTTGTCCATTAAAAAAATATTTTTGTATTCGAATTTAAGGTGCACGCTTTACGAGATAATATTTAAATAATTGCAATTGTACTCACAATAATGGTTCTTCATTGAAATATTTTAACAATTGTCGAAAAGTGTCAAAGGTAGCACGATGATTACTTCTGTCATTAAAGGTTTTTGTAACGAACAATAAAACTGAAAGTTATACTATAAACCTTCAACTTTAAAGTTCAAAACGATTTGCATTTTATTCAAGATTGAATAGAACCGCTTTGTATCATTTATGAAGAGAATTATTATGTATTATCTTACGCGGAAGAGTCTAATTTTAAAGGCTGAATAAAATATGTCGGTGTGTGATGACAGTTTAAAAAAAGTTGAGAATTGAAAAAAGGTGTTGAGGAATTTATATTGTTAGACATATGTACGTATAACAAGCGTATGACCTTGTCATATCAAAAATACGTATACGAAATAGTTTAAAAGTCTATTATTAGCTACTATACATTTTACGATATGAATGGAAAAAGTCGAAAACATAGTAACAACACATTCCTGATCTGAACGACCCGGGATTAGAATAACAGCAGACGAATATTTTTGACCGATTTTATTTGTTAGAATAAATAATTTATGGTAGACGAAAAGAACGATAAGTTCTGTAAATCAATTACATTAATTCTCTATCAAGCGAAATAGAGACATATAAACTGTAGACAAATAGATATTTGAACGTATACTTGGAATACAAATCAGTGGGCTGTAAAAGTAATATTTGTTCCAGAACGGAAATTGAATACGTCGTGTGCGGTTACCATTGCTTTTAGTTAGCTCTTCTGTTTCATGGAATCGCTAGGGATTTATAAACATAACAACATGTTTTTTTTTCTCTTCAGGGATAGACAGAGTACAAATTATTATATTTTATG